GAGAGAATGAGAGCCAAGTGAAGGGGAAAGCCCCTTATAAAACCATCGAATCTCATGAGAACTTGCTTACTATCATAAAAACTGCCCCCATGATTCAAATACCTCCCACTCAGTCCCTCCTATGACATCTGAGGATTATGGGATTAGAATTCAAGATGAGATTTGGATGGGACACAAAGCTAAACCGTATCAGTAACCAACAACCGAAGATTCTCAGATTAAGTAAGATTACCTTTAGACTATATTATTGATGCACTCTGCCCAACCAAATCAGTTGGAACTCTTTTGGTTACAAGTGACAGAAAACCCAACTCAAGTTGGATTAAGCAAAGAGGGAATTTATTGGCTCATGTGACTGGATAGTCCTGGGCTAGGGTTAAGTGTCAGGCACAACTTAATGTGGGGATCAAACAATATCATTAGTACTCAGCACAGCTCTGTTCTTCCCATGTGTTGACTTTGTTCTCAGACAGTATCTTCCCTAGGGGTCAGAAGGCAGCTGCTGCAGCTCAGCTTTAAATCCCATAGTGAAAAGGGAGCTGAAGAGAACCAGTGCCCATCCTGGGAGCCGGGAGGTAAAGGATGGAAGGAGATCCACCCAGAGCATGTAACTGAGGGTGGGGGAGCATGGGCCCTGCAGAAAATGCAAGGTATTGAACTTTGCTTTTTTAGAAGAAAGGTAAATAGGTCTAAGAGTTCTGCCCCCTAAAAAAAATCACTATACCTCAAACCTAACTTTTGATAGGATCCATTTATATTACTTGATAGAAGAGAAATTCACAAATAGGCCGTTGTTACTTTCTTAGGAAGCTGAGTTACAAGTTGAATGTGGGCATCCTCCTTTCATTTTGTACCATTTATTTTCAACATAACAGAATTCCCTTGATGTTCTGATATTTGCTGGGCACCATTACCCAGCTCCCAGTACCAATCCCAAATTTTTTAATGTATCTTCTATCATTACATTTAGAGTGGGAGAAAGGGCCATGTCACCCTAAAAACTGAGTCTACCATTTTCACTCATTCAACCTGGAATACTTCAACTTCGAAAGGCAGCTTGTCTTCCTGTTTACAGTTGTAAGGCAGCAAGAAATGTAACATTTTTTGCAAAATGTTTCAAATACTGGAGACTCAGTAGAATCTCATTTCTGGCAACACTAGGGGAAAGGAGGAAGCAGTAATGAGCAAAACCCTCCTGGGGAAAAGAGCACAGGAGATGAAGTGTGAGTGGTTTCTCCTAGGTGATGCAGGGTCCAAGCAAGTCAGGGCTTCTGAGGGAGGCTGCTGCCAAGGGCTCTGACTTGCCTGCCCTGTGGGCCAAGGCTTGCCTTGGCCACAGTAGTTTACTATGCCCAGACAAAAAAGGAAATTCATGAACAGAGAGCATGTCAAGGGTATGGCCACTGCCAAGAAACAGAGCCAGAATCTCCCGGTCGGGCTTCTCCTTGGGCTTTCCACTTTCACGAGGGTGGAGCCTGGCCAGGTGAACCAACCTGAGCACCTCTCTGTATACAAGCCTGTGGCTGGCTTGGGAAAGTGAGTACTTGCAAGGGCTGCTTATGGGTCCTCAGCCTGAATGAGGATGCCCATTGTCACAGAGCTGTGTGGATGCTGTGAGTCTGCCTGCCCATCCAGGTTTACAGCAGAAGATACATATGCCTTCCTTGGAGGGTATGGAGGCTGGACATGGCCTTCTCCAAACTGTTTTACCTTATTTCTTCCTGTGATGCCCCTCCAGCCAGTCTGCTCTTTCAAGAAAAGAGGCTTGCTGGAGAAGATACTAAGGGGCCACATAATGAGGCTGGAGCCACATGGTGTCACTTAAAGCTCAAAAACAGCACCTCTGGGCTTAGACTTGATAGAATCCATTTACATGATATGACAGAAGAGAAACTAATGGAATAGAAGGTCTTCGCTACTTTCTCAGGAAGTTGAGCATCTTTTTTTCCTTTTGTGCCAAATTCAACTTAATTTATGAATTTGGCTGAGGCTGATCCCTTATCATACCTTGCCTACTTTCAGGCAGACCATGAACCAACACAGGGAGGCAGTCACTGAAATAAAGAAATGTTTGCTGAAGCCATGCAGGAACACCCAAAGGACAAGCTTGGGGCCCTGAATCCTCTGCTAACTAGATGGGTGGCATTGGGTGACTTTCTTTCTCTCTATGGGCCACATTCTCTTCGACAGTAAAATAGGTAATGGTCAAGATGATTTTCATGGCCTTGTATAATTCTGACATGCTAAGAAAGGACAGTACATAAAAACTCAGGTCACAGTTACCTAAATCACCATTCTAAGAGGAAATGGGAAAACATGGCACCGTTGGAGGTTCTCTTTCTTCCCCTAGGGCCACTGCACAATGCTAGACATCTGTCTCCCAGGATAGAGTGAGTGCCTCCCCGATGGGGCTGGGCATGGCATGGGGCTGCACATCAGCATGGAGGCCTTAGGCTCCCCTTGTACTGGCAAAACATCCGAGGCTCGCTTGGATCCAGGGACTACCCCTAACCTGTCACTGTGTGGAAGGTACCACATGGAGGACACAGAGATATAGAAAATACAGTCTCCACCCTCAGGATTTCTAGTTAATCTGAGCTTCTTCTAGTTACTCAATGCTCTCCTTTTTCTTGTTTACTTCTAAGCTTTGCACATGCTGTGGCCTCAGCCTGAAATGCTCTCTTTGTTCCCGTTACTAGGACTGCTGTATGCAGCTGTGCAAGTTTCATGCTGCATAATTCTATATCTATTTACATAAATGTATATGGTGCCCTCAGAGATGTGCAGTGTACAACTTGTACAACTCCACAGCATGGCTCCAACTGCCACCTCCACCCCATCTCTCCTATCTGGGTGTAGCTCATACTCATCTTAGTTTTCAGCTTAGTCATTATCTTTCCTTTCCATCTGACCATCTTCCTTTCTTCCTTCTCTCCCTCTCTTTCTTCCTATCTCTCACATTTATTGACCACCTACTCTGTGCCAGGACCTGTGCTAGGAGCTGGGTATACAACTGTAACAAAAGAGAGTCCCTGCTTTGTGAAACATTTATATTGTTCTTCCTCCAGGAAGCCTTCTCTGACTGCACCATAATTGTATAAGGTGCCTGCTGACTGACCAATGAACAGCTCTCACCTGGGGACTTTGTGCCCTAGAATGTAGGGCCTCTGGTCTGAAGGAAATCTGAGGGTAGGAGGGGCTGGGGGAGACCTGGCTAGAGCTCCATTCCTTCCAGTTTCCTGTCCTTGGGAGTGCCCTGGGGCATTTATGAAGCTCATTAGTAAAGTAGCAATTAATGTGGGGCCCAAAGCATGGCTTCTTACTGCCAGGGAGGCCACAAAGTTCCAGAACGTCCCAGGGAGGAATGGGGCACCACCCAGGCCTGCCTCCCGGGGCTGCAAAACAAACCCTAATGAGTCCTCTCCAGGGCAGGGTGAAGTCACCTGCAAGGAGGCAGCTGAGCCGAAGGTGTTCTCCAGGAGGCTTAAAATAGCCAGGCTCCCTCCACAAATGCCTTCCCAACACTGTTTAGGAAGGCGAATGCCAGGAAACTAATGAATCTGAGCTTAGTGAATTAATTGTTGATGAAATAATGTGCATAGTGTGCTTCCTGTTCATCAGTCTCTACAGAAATTAATTAGCCCCATTTGGCAGCAAACAGGATCGAATTTTCAACTTAATTTATGAATTTGGCCAAAGTATCTATGGGAAGTCTTGCCTGGAGGACCTTCCGTGGCTGCTTCATGTCCCAACAGGCCTAGCCTTTCATAGAAGACATGATTGCTTTAAAAGAGTCCCAACCAGAGAAGAGGATGGTGGAGGAGGGAAGAGGGGAAGGTACAACTGAACAGAGGCTTTGATTGTGAGGCTCCAGTCAGATCCACGCTTCCTCCTGCCTTCCTGCCTCAACCCTCCCTGGTGGACCCTCATCAGATGAAGGTCTATTAGCTGAGCTGGGGGATGATGACTCAGAGCAACAGGGCTGACTTTCAGGCAAGGCCTGAATTTGGTTTTAATTATCCTGTGCTGTGTGCACGAACTAAAATTGCAGGATTATGTGAAAGAAAAATAAATCTAATGAGAAGTGCATTTTTAGACTATTTTTAAATTGAGTTTGGGGGCAGGGGGGCATCTTCTTGGGTCTGGAGAGACTAATGTGAGGAATCGGCTCCCATGGGGCATGAGTTAGAGCCTTGGTCCTATATGCCCCTGAGTGGAACACAGAAGAGCTGCTGGCTCTCGAAAATGAGCAGTCAGCCTTTGTCAACATGCAGGTCAGGCTCTCTGACTGTAGCTAGTTTGCTCAGGAATCCCCAATAAGACATCCCTGCTGGGCAGTCAAGAATCTTATGTAAACCACTAAGTAGTGACTCCAACATCTCCAGTCTTGGAAGCACTTCTGGGACAGAGTGTTTGAATGCCTCTGTGGTGTACACGCTTTTTTTTTTTTTAATTGAGACAGAATCTCACTCTGTCCCCCAGGCTGGAGTGTAGTGGCAGAATTATGGCTTATTACAGCCTCAACCTCCCAGGCTGAAGCAATCTGTTCACCTCAGCCTCCTGAATAACTGGGACCACAGGCACACGCCACCATGCCCGACTAATTTTCAAATTTTTTGTAGAGACAAGGTCTTGCTACATTGCCCAAGCTGGCCTTGAACTCCTAAGCTTAAGCAATTCTCCCACCCTGGCCTTCCAACATGCTGAGCTTACAAGCATAAGCCACTCCACCCACCCAGCACATGCTTTATTATATTCCAAAAACACTAGTTTTCTCATGGAAAAGCCTGTGAACCATTGAGTGAAAACAGGAGTGAAAGGAACAATGGAATGTGTTCCAATCTAACAAAAAAGTTCTCACCAGCCTCAAGAGTCAGGAAAGGACTAGAGCCCTGTGTTTCTACTACTTAGAATCATTTCCACTACTTAGAATTATTCAGTAATTCAACCATTCATTAAGCTTTGGAAATACAGCAGGGAATGTCCCCATGAAGCTTGGAGTTATTATGAACACAGACATACGCCTTCATCATCTGGTTTCCTATTCTATTAAAACTTAGGCACATGTACCCCCAAATCTAAAATTTTTTTAAAGGTAACACCCTCAAAACCCAATAAATACTAGATAATGGGATATATTGAAAAGGGAACAGGCTGTGGGGATAGGCTGGCTCTTCCCCTTACTAGCTATGTGACCATGGACAATTTATTTATCCTGTTCTTTGGCAAAATGTTCTTAATACTACTTAACTGTCGAATCATGAGGATTAAACAGGATCCTAACTGTAACTGACTGTTTACTTAGACCAAGGTTACCACAGTTTTCCTGCAAAGGGCCACACAGTCAATATGTTAGACTTGGTAGGCCTGCTTCAACGATTCAACTTCACTGTTACAGCATAAAAGCAGCCATAATACATATACGCCATGGAACACTATGCAGCCATTAAAAAGAATGAGATCATGTCCTTTGCAGGGACATGGATGGAGCTGGAGACCATTACCCTTAGCAAACTAACCCAGGAATAGAAAACTATGCGATAGCATGTTCTCCCTTATAAGTGAGAGCTAAATGATGAGAACATAAGGACACATAGAGGGGAACAAGACACACTGGGGCCTAGCAGAGGGTGGAGGGAGGGAGAGGATCAGGAAAAATAACTAATGGGTACTGGGTTTAATACCTGGGTGTTGAATAACTGTACAACAAACCCCCATGACACAAGTTTACCTATGTAACAAACCTGCACATGTACCCCTGAACTTAAAAGTTAAAAAAAAAATAAAAAATATATAAATAAAAGCAGCCATAGGCAAAATATAAATAAGTAAGTATGGCTGTGTCTGAATAAAACCTTATTTATGGATTCTAATAAAAAACTTACACTTGTTAATATTTTATCATGGGCTGCAATACTGAACTCTGAGTTCTATATTAGTTTCTGTTTTTTAACTAAATGCGCACTGCCTGACATACACGTACATCATCATTATTTCTCTCACATGTGTGGCTATTTAAATTTGTATCTATACAGATGCCCTCAAATTTAGCCCAAAAAGGTTATCTACTAAAGGAAGACAGAATTAGCAACTGTTTAATGACAGATAAGGAACAGGAGGAAGCCTATTTGCTCATGACTTTGACCATTTGTAGGTACCCTTGGGTCCCTGAGAGGAATCTCCTTGCAGGAAATTTGATTTTTACTGAGAACTCAAACCTAGATGCATGGAAGGACCCAACTGGGTACCCAGATATGCTGCTATAGTCAGAAAAAGCATATTAAATGGAGCATGCTGGAACCGGAGTAGGTGCCTACCTCCTTCCTGTAGGTGTTTGCAGCTGCAACCAGACTACCCTTTCCTTTAGGAATTTGTGATGTTATTACCAGCTCACTCTATGACCTCAGGCTGTGTCTGCCCTTTGTTTACCTTTGTTCTCAAACTGCCAGGTATATAATTCCATGGTTCCCTCAGGTAGCTTCTTGGGAGAAAGCAGATTGCATAAACAAAGGTGTGTATAGCGACAACTCCAGTTGGAGCACTAGGCAAAGCATTTGATGTGCTAAAACAACCAAAGCATGGTCTTCCTTAGCCCAACTTCCCAGCTAAATTGACAAGTCACTGTTCTGTAACAAATGTCCTTCACTTTCTTCCCCCATCCTCACTCCCATTACCATGCCTTTACCCACTCAGGGCCTGTCACCTGAACCTACAATCCCTACCTTCTCGGATGAAATGCCTCTCAAGCCTAGCTCACATGCTACCTCACCTCCATGAGGGTTGCCTCTATGGTAGAAGTAATGTAGAAGCAGAAGTAGAAGTAATTCTGTAGAATTTATTTCTTTCTCCTTTCTGGCACTACATCAACTCATGAAATGCAGCCATTTGCGCACTGTCTCACCTACATATTGCAAAGTCCTCAGGAGAAAGATTGCATATTCTTCATCTTCTTGGTTCTCTCTTGTCTTAACACTGAAGAAGGACTCGGTCTTGTTTGTTCTGTCTATATCACTCTGAGAATATTTGAGGACAAATTACTGTTTATAGAACATGATGAAATTTAGTGAAAGAGGTCTTAATGTTAAGTCTGATTGTGTTGAATATCTAAACATTTTCCTTTACTGGAAGCAAACAAGCAGAACGATTCTGTTTAGTGCTCTATAGCCCAGAAAATGAGACTTGGTAATGTTTTTCTGTCTTCCCTCCCTCCTTCCTCATTCTTTCTGCTACTTACATATTATTTCGGCATAGAAAATGGAGACCAGGAGTTGACAGTAAGAGCCCAGAGGCCAGCTATCCCCCTTAGTAGCTGAGTGATCAAATCCCAGCTATCCCCTTTACTAGCTGAGTGATCCTGCACATGCCATTTGATTTTCCTGAGCTTCAGTTTTTGAACTGTAAATAATGCCATCTGTCTTGCCTATCTCCAGAATGGCTGTGAAAGTTAAGTGAGATGGTGTATACACAAGTACTTTCAAATGGTGCAATGTTTTCATTGTATAAAAATCACTGAGCTGTACAGTTAAGATGTAGATATGTATCATATTTTAGTACACTACTTATATTTATAGCACTTTTACAGACATTTCCAATTGTGTGGTTATTAAACTGATTGCTGAAGTAAAAGGTGAAAGAATTATTTAAAGTTAGCTTTAAGTCATTAATACAGCCTTGAATAGACATTGAGTTTATATGGGAACTAGCCATTTCACTGAACTGAGGCAACTCCACATTTTGTTAATTATTACTTCCTAATTCTCAATGTTTTAATTTGACCCTATTCAAATACAATAGAACTACCTTTTGATAATCTGGGAACTTGTATTTGAAGTCAAATTTAGGAGCTCTTTGTGGAAAAGTATATGATAAAGAATGATTTATTATGTTCCTCATAAATTTTGTCTTTAAAATAATGCCTGGGACAGATGAGCTATTATAATTATTTGGTTTTTGTTTGTTTACCCCTAGATATTCAGTACTTTGTACAGTGCCTGAAAACTGTCCTCATTTATTTGAGAACTAAGGGGTACCCAGTACCAGGGACTTTCAGTGTTAAAACTGGGAAAATCCTGGGCAAACTAAGATGGTTGGCACATGGAAGATGCTTGGCACATGGAAGATGCTGATATATTTGTGAAAGGAAAGGACGGAAGGAAGGAAGGCAAGAAATTCATGAAAAAGTTTTGGTACCATAGAACCCCCCTTTCCTTGAAATTTTCTAGAACTATATGTCATGTGTGCATATTATAAATGTTTTAATATTCATATTTCAAAGCCACTATGCTGCACTTTAAACACCATTACTTGATAAAGTGTCCTTCAACAAAGTGGTTACTGTTTGGCAAATATTCCACTGCTAGGACCACAGGCAAATGTAAAGATGTGGAAGCTACACACTTTAGACCCAATTGTCTCAATTCTTTTCTCCTGACTTAAGGATTTAATTATTAAAAAAATAATTTGTGAACCAGAGAGAAGATACCCATGGAGACATTACTGTATCCATGGACAATTAAATTCTAAACGCAGAGTTTGGGGTTTGATGTTATTCTCCTGGTTAAAGGCATGTTGGGCTGGAAGAGACCTCAGAAATTCCTCCAGACCCTTCTATTACTATAGGGTAAAGTGAGTTCAGGGTGGGGCAGTGCTGGCCCAGGTCCCCTTGACAAGTTGGTGGCAAGGCTGGGCGAGGACCATCCTCTGCTTTTCCCTGTAGAGCAAATACCACATCCCCATGTTGCTTCTTCCTTTGATTTTCACTGCACTTGTCCTCCTTGCCTTCAGCCTATGGCACTTTGGATCATATTTGTCAGATTTGAGGATTTCCTGTCCTTCCAGGGCATGCACACCTACCTCCATTTCAAAATTAGTTGCTCCTACCTGACTCAGCCTCCTAAAAATTCTCCAAAACATTGGGTGCAGTACAGGTCTAATGATGGTGCCTGCAAATAAACAATATAAAAGCATTTTATCCATTACTCCCCAATGACCAGATGTGGCTTTCTACCCCAAATTTGGGGGTAAACACTGATGAATGAGATCCTACAAATGGGCTACCCTCTGAATCTGTGACTTTGATGTGACTGTGAAAAGGAGCAAATGAAAATGGGGAGAATATACAGAAGAGAGGTCAGAACCAAGCACAATCGCAGAAAGATTAACATAGCAAAACCAACAAGTCTCAAGACAAAAAGATAGTACAACATGAGTAATGAAATAATGGATCCCACTGTTATGGACTGAAAGTGTGTGTCCCCTTAAAATGTATTATGCTAAAGCCCTAATCACCAATGTGTATTTGCAGGTGGGACTGTGGGGAGGTAATGAGGTTTAGATGAGGTCATGAGGGTAGGACCCCAAAGATGGAATTAGTGTCCTTAGAAGAAAACGAAGAGAGGACAGAGCACCCTCTTTCTCTGCCATTTGAAAAAACAGTCAGAAGTGTCTGGCTACAAGCTAGGAAAACGACCAGACTTTGATCTTGGACTTTCTAGCTTTCAACACCGTAGGGTATTAATTTTGTTGTTTAAGCCTCTCCACCTGTGGTATTTTCTTATGGCAGCACAAGGAGACTGATACAACCATATACACAATTCTTCCAACACCCTGGCCTCTTAGCTCCTTGACTTATTTATTCCCTAGGACCCTGTGTTCTATCCTACCTGATCACCCACTGCGATCTAAATCACCTGGACCAGGGACTCTTAATCCCTCAGTCAGAAAGTCTAAAACTCAGCACCTGGACTTCACCACAGCCCATTGGAATCACAATATTTCACAGGGTGGGGCCTGTTGTTTAAAAGTTCCCTGGGTGATTCTAGTGTGTGGTCATAATTGAAAACCATTGCAAACACACTCAAGCAAGTTCAAATCAATAAAATGAAAACCTTATGGAAAATTAGGCAAAGAGGCTGCGGCGGTGACTCAGAGCTGTAACCCCAGCACTTTGGTAGGCTGAGGCAGGAGAATCACTTGAGCTCAGAAGTTTGAGACCACCCTGGGCAACACAGTGGAACGTATCTCTACAAAAAGTACAAAACTTAGCCAAGTGTGGTGGTGTGCACCTGTAGTCCCAGCTGACTACACTCAGCCAAGTGAGGCTGAAGTGAGAGGATCACCTGAGCCTGGGAGAACAAGGCTGCAGTGAGCTGTGATCTCACCAGTGCACTCCAGTCTGGGCAACAGAGCAAGACCCTGTTTCAAAAAATAAAAATTAATTAAAAATTAAAAATAAGCAAAGCATATAAATAAGCAATTTATAGAAGAAATGCAAATGGTTAATAAATGTGTGGGAAAATGTTAATGTTTAACCTCAATAGTGATCAGGGAAATGCAATATTAAATATATATATATTTTTTAAATATACTGTGCCATTTTAATAATGCAAAAGCCTAGATAATTGTAGAAAGTTCCATAATTGTTCAGTAATATCCACATAATGAAAAATTATTCAGCAACTGATAGAAGGGAGTATGATTATATGTATTAACATGCAAAGATATATATCTATACACACGTGTCATATGAGGAATAAAGCAAATCACAGAATAAAGTCTGGTATATATATATTTTTTTTAGAGATGGGGGTCTCACTATGTTGCCCAGGCTAAACTCGAACTCTTGGGCTCAACAATCCTCTGCTTCAGCCTCCTGAGTAGCTGGGACTACAGGCACATGCCACTAAGCCCAGTTAATCTCATTCTTGTTTAAAAAATGCTCTCATTATATGTGGAGAGACAGATAGACTTATATAATCATAAAAGACTGTCTTAAAAATCATTTAACAGTAATTACCTTTAGGGAGCTGGAAAGGAAAGTCGGGACTTTCACATTTTGCTTTGTATTTTGTGACTGTTTTTACAATAAACAAGCATATGCTATTTTTGTAAGATAAATAGTCTGCTGTGAGCTCAAACGGAACCTCTACAAAGAAAAGCTTTCTGTGCCAGAAGGTTGAGGCCATTTCAGGGCCATCTCTTTACCATCATTTACACTTAACAACACAAAAATCTTTCAGGGCATCTCACAGATAAGCAAATTTTTGGAAAGGTGTTGTTTTCACTACGTTCCTTTTTAGAATTCTCCTCAGGTTTGGAAAAAACTGCTGTACAGGTGATTTGTTCATGGTATAGGAATTCCCAACCTGGATATTTTCCCATTAATGTTTGTTATGAGATGTGAAGAGAGTCCTCCATTGCTAAAGATTGAGGAGGAAAATAAGACTGTAAATGTGTCATCAACTGGGAGGAAATATATGACTGCCACAGAGCTGGAGACTTACATTCAAAGCATAAGGTTTCTGTCAGAAAAAAATAAGGAGAATGCACAAATGATGCTGGGGAAGTAAATAGGTTTCATCTCACAAACACAATCTGTGAATTGTGATGCCTGGGACTCAGGTTGGGAAGCCTTAAAGGCCATATTGTGGCTCAACTGTAAAGTCCCCAAGATCAACTGGTAGTTGCTGCCATGGACACAGGAAGGAAAAATGGAGATGACAAACATAGTACAGTACTCGTAGGAAAAAAGCAAGAATTAAGAATGATGAAAGTTTATCTTTAGGGTGAAATATGCAGTCCTGATTCCTTTTATTTATTTTTTATTTTTATTTTTGTTTTTTGAGATAGAGTCTTACTCTGTCACCCAGGCTGGAAAGCAATGGTGCAATATTGGCTCACTGCAGCTTTTGCCTCCCAGGTTCAAGCCATTCTCCTGCCTCAGCCTCCCAAGTAGCTGGGGTTACAGGTGTGCACCACCACACCTGGCTAATTTTTGTATTTTTACTAAAGACAAGGTCTCACCACGTTGGCCAGTCTGGTCTTGAACTGCTGACCTCAGGCGATCTGCCCACCTCAGCCTCCCAAAGTGCTAGGATTACAGGCATGAGCCACCATGCCCAGCCTGATTCTTTTTAAATTTTGTTCCATAAAGAACAAATAAATTATATTCTGCTATCATAACTCAAGAGTTGAGAACTGTAATTGACAGTAATCAAATGACATCTATGTGCTCCATATCTAGCATAATGGTGTAATGCTGAGATTTGAGTTCTTGAAACAGCCACATGCAACTTGAGAATGCTGATCTGAGTTCATATTTAATTTCAGTTCTCTTAATAAAGAGGTATTCAGAAGTTCTCATTAACAGCCTGATGAAATGTTCATGGTTCTCTGTGCCATTTTAAGCAATAAATATTCATTTTTACCAAGTCCAAATTGCAAAAGAAAGGAAAGGATAGGAATAGAACCCCAGAGAGGAGGGGCTGATGGTCTGGAATAGGCACAGAAGTCCCCTACTTAAAAAAGATTTTCCATATGCTCTACACCAGTTAGATTAATCCAGATGAAAATTCAAAAGCCCTCAGAGAGAGTCAAACCTCATTCCAGGCAGTTGTTTGCTGATATCAGCACTTAGAGAAGAGGAATTTTGACTGGGCAAAGAAGTTAGAAAGGCTTCAACTTATCACTTGGTCACCTTTGCTGCCACTGTTCTCCATTCCTCTCCATTTCCCTACATACTAAGCAGGCTTTGTCCCTTGACACTTGATGCTCTCACAAGCTTCCACATCATGACACATGTGTTTTCTTCTGCCTAGAACTGTCTTCTCTACTAGCAATTTCTATTCACTTCTCAGCAAAGTCTTGCCTGATTTCCCCAAATAGGAAGGACAGTTAAGAAGGAGAATACTTACTTTTTTTTCTCCTAAAGACTTTCCACATTGTTTCCCGGGTCCTTTCTTGATGCCTGTTACCTCCTCATGACAGTTGGAATAACACAGGTAGCTTATGTGCAAGGGACACATCACTCACTTGAGCACGCAAGCCACTTGACAGCAAGAGCACATCTTCATCCTCATTTCCTTATGAGGCTTGGTGTGGTTTAGTGAAATAATCATAGACTCTCTTGCTGTGTGGGCACTCTAAAATATATTCTCAGCAAATACAAAGAGCCAGCTATGGTTTGGTTTTTCTGTAATATAAGAAATTACAAGGGGAAAAAGAATGACAGATTTAACTGTATGGGGGAAAAGCTTTGAGAAATAACATAGCATAGATTTAAAAGGAAAGTCATTTTTAAGTATTTATGATAGACTCCATTTTAAAAATAAAGACTGGTCAAATAAGTAGATACACAGGCAATTTACAGAGTAAATAGAAGTTTCAAGACAAGTATATAAGATGTCTCAGGCTATGTAATATAGCTATTAAAATTAGGATTACATAGACTGATAGAACATTATATATATATATATATATATATATATATATATATATATATATAATTTTTTTTGAGACAAAGGCTTGCTCTGTCACCCAGGGCAGGAGTGCAGTGGTGTGATCTCAGCTTGGCTCACTGCAACCTCCACCTTCAGTTTCAAGCAATTTTCCTGCCTCAGCCTCCCGAGTAGCTGGGACTACAGGCATGCACTGCCACGCCTGGCTATTTTTTGTATTTTTTGTAGAGATAGGGATTCACCATGTTGGACAAGCTCGTCTCAAACTCCCGACCTCAAGTGATCTGCCTGCCTCTACCTCCCAAAGTGCTGGGCTTACAGGTGTGAGACACTGTGCCTGGCCTAATAGAATATTTTTATGAAGTGAAATTAAGGGAAAAATGCATCAATTATGGCACTATAGATAGAATTTATGCATAAACAAAGCACATATTATAAAAGTACATACCCCAAAATAAAAATAAAAACAGAGGTGCGTTTTCATTTAGAAGAATGAGATCATGGGTTAACTGCTTCTTTATTACTGTGGGTTGTACAATAAATAAAAATGGGAGAAGGAACATAAAGTGAAAAATCTCACTAAACGTATTATCAGTTAATCATATCTGTGGTTTGGGCTCTTAACTGAACCTTGTTAAGAAGGTACTTCTTTCCACCAGGGGTCAACTTCCTCTTACTTTTTTGAATTTTAAATTCTTGCATATTTTTAAAAGAGATAAAAATTCTCTCAAAAAGGATTTTCACTTCCAGCAAGGGGACCTCCTAAAAACTGGGTAATAGTAAGGAAAATAAAACCTGTTTGAAGTCATGCAAGAGCCATGCAGGCAGTGAACCTAAGAGGGGCCAAGATCCCAGAGACCAGGGAGACACAGATTAACGAGCCTAATGGAGACACCACTCTTGCTCTTGTCAACTCTAAGGCAACGGCTGAGAGACTGGGCACTCGACACTGCACAGAAAGCTGTGAAGGAACAGCTGAGAAGCTGGGTAGAGCTTACTGCAGTCTCATACAGCTGGGAGGAATAAATATTCAGGACCACCAGGGAGAAAGGGCCATGCATAGTAAACACTCAGGATTTCATTTGAAGCCCCTGAAGAACTGAGACTAGGAATAAAGGAGACTTGGAAATAGGCTAGCACTCACGAAGAGCCCAGCCTTGCCTCATAAGAGATCTAACACACTTCTTGTAGTAGTAACTGATAGAATAGGTAGATAAAAGGTAAGTAAAATGTGGGAAGATTTTAACAAACTTGATCTGATTACACACACACTTTAATAAATGCAGAATGTACATTCTTTTTAAAATTTTTATTTTAGATTCAGGGAGTTCATGCGCAGGTGTGTTACAAGGGTATATACTTATGCTGTACTGATTTCATCACCGATATAGTGAACATAGTACCTGATAGAAAGTTCTTCAACCTTTGCCCTACTTGCCTACTTCCGCTTTTTTGGAGTCTCCAGTGTCTATTGTTTCCATCTTCATGTTCCTGTTTACCCAATGTTTACCTCCCACATAAAAGTGAAAGCATGTGATATTTGGTCTTCAGTATCTATGTTAATTTGCTTAGGATAACGACCTCTAGCTGCATCCATGCTGCTGCAAAGCACATAATCTCATTCTTTTTGGTGGCTGCTTAGTATTCCATGATGTATATGTACCACATTCTCTTTATCCAATCCACTGTTAATGAGCACCTAGGTTGATTTCATGTCTTTGCTATTGTGTATAGCAAAATCCACATTATTTTCAAGTGTACATGGGAACACTTTTCCAAAATTGACCATATTATGCTGGTTAAAAAAAACAACAATCTTTTTGAGATGGAGTCTCACTCTGTTACCCAGGCTGGAGTGCAGTGGTGCAATCTTGGCTCACTGCAGCCTCCACCTCCTGGGTTCAAGTGATTCTCCTGCCTCAGCCTCCCAAGTAGCTGGGATTACAGGTGTGTGTTACCATGCCTGGCTAAGTTTTGTATTTTTAGTAGAGACAGAGTTTCACCATGTTGGCCAGGCTGGTCTCGAACTCCTGACCTCAAGTGATCTCCCCATCTCGATCACAGACATGAGCCACCACACCCAGCAGGTTCAAAAATTAAGTCTCAACAAATTTCAGAGTTTTGGGGTTCGGGTGTGTGTGTGTGTGTGTGTGTGTGTGTGTGTGTGTTTGAGATAGGATCTTAGGATCTTACTCTGTCACTCAGGTTGGAGTACAATGGTACAGTCATGGCTCACTGCAGCCTTGACCTCCCAGGTTCAAGCAATATTCCTACCTCAGCCTCCTGAGTAGTTGGGACTACAGGTGAATGCCACTACACCCTACACCTAGCTAATTTGTTTTTATTTTTTGTAGAGACAGGGGTCTCCCTATGTTGCCTAGGTTGGTTTCAAGCTCCTGGGCTCAAGTGATCCTCCTACCTGGGCCTCCCAAAGTACTCAGATTACAGGCATGAGCCACCACACCCTACCCAGAGTTTTGAAATTATACAGGATATGTTCAAAGATCAAAGTAAAAACTACCTATATATTAGTATCAAAAACACAACTTTTAAAAATTCCCAAATGTTTGGATATTAAGTAATATACATCTAAATAACCTATAGGTCAAAGAAGAACCACAGTGGAAATTGTAAAATATTTTGAATTAAACGATAATAAATATATGACATCACAATGTGTGGGATCCAGCTAAAGCTAGGCTTAGAAGGAAATTTATGACTTTAAATGCATATATTAGAAAAACAGGTGGTCAATCATCTAAGTGTTTATCTTGGAAGGTCAGAAAAAGTAAAACCCCAAAAAAGTAGAAGGAAGGAAATAATGAAGATAAGAGCAGAAATTAATGAAATAAAGAAACAAAGGACAGTTGAGACAGCAATAGAACCAAAAGTTAAATCTATGCAAAGAACAATAAAATTCATAAATCTGTGGCAACATTGATCAAGAGGAAAGAAGGCACAAATAAACCAATATCAATATCAGGAATTAAAAAGGATATATCACTATAGTCACCACAGGCATGAAAATTCTCAAAAAGGGAATATCTCAATCTAATGATATAAAATAATGATGCTAAATTCGAAAACATTTTAAATAGAAATAAAAATGGCAGAATTATTTGAAGACCTCAACAGCTTTTTTTTCTATTTTAAGATAGGAGCCTAGATATATACATTTTAATTATACTTCACTAACCCTGACTTAATAAGGTACTCAATATACTTCTCACAGCATATAATATCTGGTAAACTAGGGACATCAGCAGTTCGACTTCAGAAAAGATTACAAATCCCAAAAATTATACAGTATAGAAGCCCCAGAACCTTGAGAGTGTCTTACCTGGACCTCACGTGTAAGGTTGACTATACCTGAAAATATTTGAGAAGAGACTGTAGCACCCCAAATTTCCTCAATCACCAATTAAACTGTCAGTATAACCTTGTAATTTTTCATACATATTTCTGGTGATAGCCTAAATAGCATTAAAGCTTTGCTGTGCTATGTGACTAATTTTGAGCACCTCTGCAATTAAAACACAAAATAGAGCACAATGTTTTGATTTATAACCATTGTAAGAGTACTTGTCACTAATTATGTTTCAAATTTTTGTTAACCACCTCGTGACATTAGGAATTACAATTTACAATTACACTGTTAATCAAAGTGTTTACCTTGATGGGACAATAAAGCCCTTTAGATCGATAACCATCCCTTGAGAACTATTTATTAAATGAATCAATGAACAAATGGAAAAATAAGGACAATCATTTTCAATGGAGAAGAGATGATGTGTTCAGTTTTGGATGTGGTGGGCTTAAGGAATCTGTGGGATATCTGTGTGGAGAAATGTTCATGAGACCTTTGTATCTGCAGGTCTGAGCTCTGGAGAGAAGTTCTGGGCACCTTTGCAGTGCTATGCCCTGTGTAGAGTGGGAATAACAGTGCCTCCTCTGCATCAGATCCCCCTGAGAATCAAATGGGGGAAGAGGATAGTGGTGCCCTGAAAATAGCCATATGTTGGAGGAAAGGGTTTAGGCTTAGAACCAGCCAAACCCGATTTTAATCTGTACTTATCTCTTTATGAGCTGTGCATCCTTGGGTAAGTCAATTAACATCTCTGAGCCTTGGGTTTTCATCCACAAAATGGAAAGTATCACCTATCTCCTGAAGTTACCATGAAGCTTAGGTTAACTAGCTTCCTTTGAATCTGGTACTGTATAAAGGCTCAAAATGGTGTCATCACCATTATCACCTTGCAGTGTGTTAGTAATGTCCTTAGTCCTGTCCTTTTTAATTATTTTGAAGAGTTGTAACTTTGAGTCTGTCTATCCTCCACCCACTCAAAATGTCACATGCACCTCTGTTTCATGAATCTTCTTACCTTTTTCCCTCTTTCCATAGCTCTACACTGTGTATTCTTCCATAGGCCAACTAGACCAAAAATGGTAACACGTATGTGAGCTTCATATTGACATCCTCCATGAGGAAGAGATTCAAAAGCTCAGGTTCTAAAGTCAAAAGAACTCCCTTCAAACACCCAACTTTACCACTTGTAGGTGGGTGACCTTGGACATATCATTTAAACTCTAAAACTTGGTTTCCTTGTCTGTAAAATGAAAATAACAGTGCTTACCTCACAGGGCCATAGTAAGAAACAGAGAATGCTGTGAGAAAGTGGCTTACCAAGGAGTCTCAACTCACTGGGGATGAATATTGTTTTATTTATTTGTGTTA